CTACCACCTGCTCCCCAGAAGGGGCGCAGTAAAGAATGAGGGCAGGGAGGGGGGAAGGAAAGAATGTGAAGCATCCATGATGAAGAGGTGCTTGAGAATGAGGCTTGGAAGCCTCACGGGGAGGTTTGTTCTGTTTGCCTTTCGGCTGTCCCTTAGGAAAGGTGGAGAGCATGGCTGTGAGGGCTCCCTGCGCGCTGAGTCCAGTTCCGCAGCCAACTGGAATTGGCCTCAGTTTCCTGGTCTGTAAAATGGATTAAGTGTGTCCCAGTGCCTTCACTGAGCTTTGAGGGCCAATTGAAATCCTATATAAAGAAAATGAGGGAAGAGGTGAGAAAGAAAAGGAAGGTCGAGCAACACAAAAGAAAGATTGGAAGGAGCCTGTAAACCTATTGTCACTTAAATAGGGAATATAGTCAACAGTGTTGTAATGACGGTATGATGCCAGGTGGTACTGGAAATATCAGGGAGCACTTTGTAAAATATATGATTGTCTAACCCAGGGGTGGGCAAACTTTTTGACTCGAGGGCCACAATGGGTTCTTAAACTGGACCGGAGGGCCGGAACAAAAGCATGGATGGAGTGTTTGTGTGAACTAATATAAATTCAAAGTAAACATCATTACATAAAAGGGTACGGTCTCTTTTTTTTTTAGTTTTATTCATTTCAAACGGGCCGGATCCGGCCCGCGGGCCGTAGTTTGCCCACGGCTGGTCTAACCACTATTCTGTAACTAATATAAAACCTGAAACTAATACAAAATAAATATTGAATGTAAAGAAATGAAACTAGGAGCGAAATTTTTCTAAATTTCAAAGTTTAAATAAAGGCTATAAAGGAAGGAAGAGAGAGAATAAAAATAGTGTTTTTCATTTTACCACTTTATTGTCTTTTCAGTACATGAAAAAGACAGTTGTCTTTATGTGATGCTTTTATACTTTTCTAAGTCATTATCTCATTTGAAGTTCAGGGCAACTTAAAGACAAGATAATTATTCCCTCTACTATTCAAAGAAAGGAAATCCTGGTGTCTGGCCCCAGTGATTCAATCGTCAAGCCCTTATTGTAAAGCAGGGTTAGTGAAATTTTCTGTGAAGGGTTATATCTATCTATACTAATAAAAGCCTTGGGGGTGATCAGGCTGGCTGGCAGAAGCGGTTAGGATGTCTGACTGCCGGTTTAGGCCTGATCCCACAGGCAGTCAGGCATCCCCCGAAGGGTCCAAGATTGGAGAGGGTGCAGGCTGGGCTGAGGGACACCCCCTCCCCCTGTACATGAATTTCATGCACCGGGCCACTAGTTTCCTATATAATAAAAGGCTAATATGCAAATCGACCAAATGGTGGAACGATCGGTTGCTATGACAAGCACTGACCACCAGGGGGCAGATGCTCAATGCAGGAGCTGCCCCCTCATGGTCACTGCGCTCCCACAGGGGAAGCGCTGCTGAGCCAGAAGCCGAGCTCATGGCTGGCAAGCGCAGCAGCGGTGGCGGGAGCCTCTGCCGCCTCTGCGGCAGCGCTAAGGAGTGGGCATAAGCTGTCAGTTGAACATCCCCCTGAGGGCTCCCGCACTATGTGAGGGTGCAGGCTGGGCTGAGGGACCCCCCGAGTGCACAAATTTTGTGCACCGGACCTCTAGTGTATATATATAAAAGCGTAAGTGACTGTTTGACCATTTGGTAGCTATGATGCACACTGACCACCAGGTGGCAGATGCTCAATGCACAGGCATGGAAATATGGAACAGACTGATGAATCTCAGCAGGAAGGGGGAATGGGGAAGGGCGGGGAGAGATTAACCAAAGGTCTTATATGCATACTAGAGGCCTGGTGCACAGATTCATGTACCAGTGTGGTCCCTCAGCCTGGCCTGCAGGGACCAGGCCAAAACTGGCAGTCCGACATCCCCCAAGGGGTCCCAGATGATAAGAGAATGCAGGCCAGGCTGAGGGACCCTACCAGTGGACAAATGAATCCGTGCACTGGGCCTCTAGTATGTGAAATAAAAAAGAGCTCACAGATAGAGAACAGGCGGGATGGGAAGTGAGAAAAATGAGTGAAGGTATCCAAAGATGGGAACTTTCAGTTATAAATAAGTCCATGAGGTTGTAATTATATAGCAGGTGACTATAATTAATAATACTATATTCCATATTTGAAAGTTGCTAACAGAGTAGATCTTAAAAGTTCTCATCACAAGAAAAAAAAATTCCAACTACGTATTGTGAAATATGTTAACTAGACTTATTTTGGTGAACATTTCACAATACATACAAATATCAAATCTTATATACCTGGAACTAAATGCTATATCTCAATTTTTTAAAAATATTGACTGACTTGAGATGTTCACTGATTAGCTGATTAACTTGTTTTACCTGCAAAATTATCCTTTTCTTGGTTACATTTATCATTTTGGGGACTATGCTTGGTTCTCTGAAGAGAGAGGAACGTGACTGTTATGGCTTCTGTTTTTGGCAGATGAACTCCAGCCTAGCCCGGATGACTCGGATAATAGCGTGTCAGAGAGCCTGGATGAATTTGATTACTCTGTGGCTGAAATTAGCCGCTCATTCCGCTCACAGCAGGAAATATGTGAGCAACTCAACATCAATCACATGATCCAGAGGATCTTCCTCATTACTCTGGACAACAGTGAGTTACACACTTGCAACCGGTCTGTCCGTTGCTCTGCTCTTCCCTCTCAGGCTAGGGACTTGCTCTGAGAAATCTGTTGTATCTAATAGTTAAACAAACTTGCTGTACTCCCTGGAACACGGGGCTTGGATTTCAGTGAAACTTTGACATAACCTAAAATCAGTGTTTAGACACAGATGGAACTTTCATTCTAAGTTTGATACTGACTGTGCTGTATAGCTGCTTGCCTTTACTACCTCAGAGGTGACCTCAGCATTTAGATGGAAGTCCTCCAGCGGTATGAGACAATGTTTCCACTCTGTGCCTTCTCTGCAGTTAAACCCAAAGTTAGTCGAATGTCTGGGATTTACTCTTTAAATGTCATGGTGTTAGGTTTATACCAAGTCCATGCTCAGTAATTGGGGGGCGGGGGACTTAAATCTTCAGATGCTGCTTTATAGGTCAAGGTTATTCTAATATCACCCGAGTCAAACTTGGAGTTCAAGAGAAGTGCTGTCTAGATGGGTTGTCTATAAAACAGAAGCATTATCCTTAACCTACCAGATTAAAACCATTTCCCAGGTGACCCGAGCATGAAAAGTGGGAATGGTATCCCCAGCCGCTGTGTGTATTTGGAAGAAATGGCAGTAGACCTCGAAGATCAAGACTGGCTTGATATGAACAACATTGAGCAGGTAGCGTTCACATGTTCCTTATGTGTGCCGTCAGCAGAAGCTAGCCCTGCAGCTGAGCTCTGCTTACCTTTCCCCAGCCACGGTTTTGCTCTCCTCCATCTCTTCGTGGTTTGGGGTGTTCCTCTGTTGGTATCTTCTTACCAGCCATGGCCACATGTCCAAATCTACCCACTCTTTAAGACCAGTTAAAATGTCATCTCTTTCTTCTTTGTATCTTTCCCAAAATCAAAACAGGCATTTTACCTTATAGGTGCCTAATTAACATTAAAGGAATAAAAGTTGGGTAGGGAAGACATTGACAACTTTGTACATTTAAATTATCTTTATATAAGTTTGAGTGAGGTCAGCAATCACAGTGTAGTAGATTTCACATGAGTTTAATTGCTGATTCTCTATACCATTCAACAAATATTCTTTTAATGCTTATTCTGTGCTAGGGGCAATACTAAACATTTGAGCTTGATTTAGGATAACTTTATATATACACAATTATGTTGTATATATAATATCTTCTATAGTAATAAGACACTGGGTACTATTTTCCCCTTTACACTACATCCTGTGATTCTCACAATAACCTGTGTCAGAATTACCTTTTACATCTTGATGTTCTAGGGTTGACTTTGCAGTGGTTTAGTATTTTTGTTTTTTGGGTCTTTTCTTAATAGGCTGTCTTTGCTCGCTTACTACTTCAAGATCCCGGCAACCACTTGATCAACATGACCTCTTCTCCGACGATCAATCTCTCTGCCGATCGAGATGCAGGGGAGAAGCACGCCTTTTGTTACCTTTATTCCTGCTTCCAGAGAGCCAAGGAAGAGGTAACAATGATAATAATTCCCTTGAGCAGGTTTTGTTCTCTTGGCTATGACCAAAGAGTTAGATCAGTGTCTTTTATGTCAGTGTATGTGCATCGCAGTATACCTGTAATGGATGCTGATATGAGGCACCATTAGTTTTGTGTTCTAAAGTTTTAGTGTTTCTGTGCTTGGGACCCACCCTTTCCCAGTGAACCAGTGCCTCTGATTCTTCCTACAAACCTCGTACACATCACACCTTTAAGGAAGGTCTGATAAATCCTTTTCACAGAGGTGTGATAATAGAGTAGGCCATGCGTGTCACTTCCAGGATTGGAATTCTAACAGGTGGGTGATTCCTTAAAGAATGAACTGGCATGAATGTTCAAGGACAACCTTGTTTGGAACACGCGGTCTTTGCTGTGTGCACCCCTATTCCAGGTCGTTAACCAGGCTCTTCCCTCTCTCCTCTGTGCTGTTTCCAGATTACCAAGGTTCCAGAGAACCTGCTGCCTTTCGCGGTGCAGTGCAGGAACCTCACCGTGTCCAACACACGGACGGTCCTCCTCACCCCAGAGATCTATGTGGACCAGAACATCCATGAGCAGCTGGTAGATTTGATGTTGGAGGCCATCCAGGGAGCCCGTGAGTACATAAGCAAGAGCTGTGCTCATCTACATTTTGATTTCCAGCCCTAACCGGTTTGACTCAGTGGATAGAGCGTCAGCCTGCAGACTCAGGGGTCCCAGGTTCGATTCTGGTTGGGGACATGTACCTTGGTTGCGGGCACATACCCGGTGGGGAATCAAATATAAAACTCTTCCTGGTGCATTGGAAAGCCTCGGAGCCACTGCGGTTCCAGAAAAATTAAGGATGCGAGTTCACACCTTGAATATCAGTATAGTTACCGACAGTAGAAGAGTTAAAAGCGGGGTGTAAAGCACATGAAGTTCCTATGGTCTCTTTCCTTTCTCCTTTGCCTTCTGTTAGATTTTGAAGATGTGACTGAATTTCTGGAAGAGGTCATTGAAGCCTTGCTATTGGATGAGGAAGTCCGAACATTTCCAGAGGTCATGACCCCAGTGTTTGATATTTTGTTGGGCCGAATAAAAGACCTGGAGCTCTGCCAGATGCTGCTGTACGCGTACCTGGACATCCTGCTCTATCTCACCAGGCAGAAGGACATGGCCAAGGTAACGGAGGTGTCAGCACCGAGCTGGAGGTTCAGTAATGTGAGCTTCCCTGTCCGAGGGCCCTAGGACGTTACCTGCTGAATAAGAGAAAGATGTGCTGGTTGTTGTGTAGACTTAACTCCTTGAGGCCCTCTCATCCATCACGTTTATCTCATCATACAAACAAGTAAGTAGGACTTCTCTTCTCCTACAGGTTTTTGTAGAATACATTCAGCCCAAGGACCTTAGCAATGGGCAGATGTACCAGAAGACCTTGCTGGGAGTAATCCTAAATATCTCTTGCTTATTAAAGACTCCGGGTGTCGTGGAAAATCATGGCTATTTCTTGAGTCCATCTCGCTCCAGCCCCCAGGAGATCAAAGTACAGGAGGCCAACATCCATCAGGTGGAACTGTTTATGTGTATCCCAGCCCCTATCTTAGGTTAAGTCGTTTCCTCGGGAAGCAGGGCCAGATGAGGCTGCTTGAGCTCGCTGGAAAGCAGGTTGATGGGGGTGGCTTTCTACTATAACCGTGTAAAGAACCTTCGTGTGGGTTAAAGACTAACCTGCTGCTCCTTTTCCTCTTGGCCCTGGTTTTCCTCGTCGACCTATTTCTTATAACTTTAGCTCCTAAATCTTCTGACTGATCTCCAGCCTATAAACTAATTTTTTTCCTCTCCCTCCTTCCTGTGTCCTCTCTATTTTGGCTTCTTAGCATTCATTATAGTAGAAGTCTGGCCAACATGAGGCAGTAAATGGTTGAATTGGGGGTAGTTTGCATCTCCCATCCTCACAACTCTCTAAAGCCCAGATTTGCAAATTACAGCAGCAGCCAAATCCTGCCTGCTTTTGTAAATAGTTTGTAAATAGTTGATTGAGCACAGCCATGCCCATTTGTGTATGTGTGGTTATGGTTTGATTTCATGCCATAATGGTAGAGTTGAATAGTTACTACAGCGACCATACGGCATGAAAAGCCAAAAATATTTATCATTTGACCCTCTGCAGAAACAGGTTACTGGCCCTACTCTAAAGCTCCATCAGTGCCCCCTGCAGTTGGGCAGCTTGTCAGGAAATCTCTCGTAAGTGCCCAGAAAATTGCTTAAATTAGAACTGGGGATAAGGCACAGGAAGAGTACGGAAAAGATTAGGATTGGCATATTTTTAGAAATTGACAGTGGCTAAGGTTTGGGAGCAACAAATATTAGGATTGTGAAACTGGAATGTTCTGTGGTTATGTTTTCTGGTTAAACAGTTCATGGCTCAGTTCCATGAAAAGATCTACCAGATGCTGAAGAACTTACTCCAGCTCTCCCCAGAAACCAGACATTGCGTCCTGTCCTGGCTGGGAAACTGTTTGCATGCAAATGCAGGCCGCACCAAGATCTGGGCCAACCAGATGCCAGAAATCTTCTTCCAGATGTATGCCTCGGATGCCTTCTTTCTCAACCTGGGTGCTGCTCTCCTGAAGCTGTGCCAGCCGTTTTGCAAACCTAGGTCCTCGCGGCTCCTCACCTTTAACCCCACTTACTGTGCGCTGAAGGAGTTGAATGATGAAGAACGAAAAATAAAAAATGTACACATGAGAGGTAGGGGAGTACTGGGCTTCCCACAACGTGTGTGTGTCAGGCACTCACAACCTTATCCTTTCTCACAAAGGTGCCTCGTAGAAGATGAGGCAGAGAGAAGAGCTATTATAAATCTTACAAGGACAGGCTTTTCAAAATAACACTGGTGGCTTTCAGTTGTGCTTTAGTGAGACCTCTCTGAATTTGGTAACCTTGGGTATTCATTCATTATTTCTTTAAAAATGAATGAAGCACAGTCCTTATCCTTTATGAATTCAGAAATGCCAGGAGAAGGCAGATAGATTGATAGGTAACCATAATATGGTGTAGGGCTGAGCTATGGAAACACAGAGGAAGGAGTAAGAAATTCTACAGAAGTTGGAGGTCTTCATAGCTGATCTTTGAGAGAGGAAAGCAGCAAAAGAATCCCTTTATAAGAGGGACTAACAAGTATAAAGGCACAAAGCTATGGAGAGGCTTGACTAAGGAATAGTGAGAAGGTCATTGTGGCTAAAGCAAGGGGTAGGTGGGAGGAGGGAAGGGTATGGAAACAGCAGGAAATGAGTCTGGGGAGGCAGAAGATTGAGACCAGATTAGAGAAAACAACAATTACAGAGAAGTGGAAAGAAATCATTCATAATTCTACCACTCAGAATGAATCATGCTTAATTTCAGTGAATGTAATTCCTCCCAGTTTTATAACTCTTATTAGAGTTGTAAAAGTAAGACATGTTCAAAAGCAAATAATCTTAAATACAGAAAAACACAAAATACCTGGTAGCTACAGTGATCCACTCTGTAGCATCTGAAAAATCTAGTTATCTATCATTCCTTTTAATTTTTTGTATTTCATGATCAAGTAAAGAAATTTAACTGCATTTCTATGGATAGTGAGAGCCAAAAAGATATTTTTAGACAAAG